GGGGGGTGCCTGGTTAACTGGAAAAAAATAGATCAAAAGAGGAGCCCTGGGTGAGGGAAAAGGGGGGAGGGTGGAAATAGTTTCGCACGGTCCGTCAAAAATAAACAGAAGATATTGATGTATCTTTATGTTAAGAGGAATAAATGTATATTGTATTGTTTGCTCCTCTTTCCCCGTCTCCTCTCCTCTATTTTTCTGTCTCCTCTCTTCTCTTTCTCGGTCTCCTCTCTTCTCTTTATCTGTCTCATCTCTTCTCTTTCTCTGTCTCCTCTCTTCTCTTTCTCCTCTCCTATCTTTTTCTGTCTCCTCTCTTCTCTTTTTCTATCTCCCTTCTTCTCTTTGCCTATCTCTTTTCCTTTTTTCTCTTTCTCTGTCTCCTTTCTTCTCTTTCTTCTGTTTGGTCAGACAGTTGGAACAAAACAGACAAGAATCGATTACCTTTTCAGAAGACAAAACACTAGCGTTGGTAGCGTAGCGATTAGGTGCTTCACCATCAAACGCAGAAAAGCAGAGTTCGATTCCCGTTTGGAAGTAAATTTCATAGAGTATCTAGATCTTTCTGTTGGGATGTTGTATCCCTTTCAGCCTCGTTTGCCCCTGACATGTAGGGTCAAAGAAATCTGCCTTCTAAATGATTTAAATTGTGTTTGTAGGAGCGTAATAATCTTCATTTTTAAGAAGAGAAGTCATACTTGCAGTCCCCTCCGAGGGTCAAGAAAATTATTATTACCGTAATCCCATTGAAAAGTTTGATAACGGCAGTTAAGTGAACTCTTCTCCGCATTATACCAAACAAAAGATGTCTAAACGTATTTGCCATATTACTTTACGGCTGGAACTTTATTTTATAGACGAGATGCCTAAAAAATGCAAAAACGCGTCCTTTAGCAATAAATTTTGATTCGCTTTGAATTTCACTCCTCTCCCAAATCCACTACACACAAACAAATACATCCTCTCATACACGTACACACGCACACTTTGCACATACTCACTCTCATACTTCCTTACAAGCAGACAGACAAACAAACGGACGGACGAACAAACAAACAGACAGACAGACACATACACACAAGCACAATTGCACACACACTCGCACACACGCACTCACACAAATACACACACACACACACACGCACACGAACGAATTCATCCCACTTTCCGTAGTTCCCAACAAACTCATCATTTCTCTGCTCAGCTGTTCCACCAATATCTCGACGTTCCCAACAGTCTCTCGGTCACCTGATAGCTCCCCCAGATATTCCTCATACCTATCTCTTTTTTGACCTATTTGCCCAAAGTACAGAAAGCAAGGATTCTTTTCTCCCTTCTATCTTCATTCTTAGAAAGAATTTCCCATTGCCCACAAGTATTCGTACCGTCTCCTCTCTTCTCTTTCTCTGTATCCTCTCTTCTCTTTCTCTGTCTCCTGTCTTCGATCTCTATTTCTTCTCTGTCTCCTCTTTTCTCCTCCTCTGTTCTCTTTCTCTGTTTCCTCTCTTCTCTTTCTCCGTGTCCTCTCTTCTCTTTCTTTATATCCTTTCTGTTATTTCTCTGTTTCCTTTCTTCTCTTTTTCTATCTTCTCTCTTCTCTTCTCCTACATTCTCACCTTGACCCCCTCTTTGAGAACTGATTGTCATTTCTATTAGAAGAGATAACACCGAAGTCTGTGGTGAAGTGTTAGGCCCTTCGCTGATTTTGTGTTTGTGAATGGTCGCAATGGTTTCGCAAAGACGTACTAGAGGTGTGTGTGTGTATGTGTGTGTGTGTGTGGGGTGGGGG